GTAACACAGTAACGTACTTTGATTACTTTTAAAGTAACCCTTACCCAACACTGGTCATACGGTCCAATAGCTCATCATTAACATTTTAGTCTTTTCAATGAAAACAAAACCGACATCTGTTTCAGTTTTATTATCAAAGATCTATTTTTTCTCATCTTAGTCATGGAAAAAAGTCTGTGACAAACATTTTTCAATGATTGTTTTTGTTAACAAAATGAACTATGCACAGAAGCACACTAACACACTTTGCTAGTTAAGTGTACTGTGAAGTGTGATACACCATCAAGCTGTTGTACTGAACTGCTTGTATGAAGGTTAAATGTTTTCAACTCCATTCTTTTTAAGATTGCTTTTATTTGCAAATACTTAACTGTGTATGCAGTATAGCAGTTTTATAGTGGATCAAGTCAATTCAGTTTGGAATAAAATCATTCACTGTGTGAGTGTGTGAGTGTGTGTGTGTGTATGTGTATGCTAGCGTTTTAATTAGGCCCACGCAAAATCCTTATCTCCTCTCTCCAACAGCCACTATAACCCACAAGCACTCAACAGTACTTAAGAGCTTGCATAATATCACGGCTTTGATCGAGACAAACATGTGGCCGCGCGCGCGCACACACACACACACACACACACACACACACACACACAGTAGAAACATGACTTGCTTACATAGATTGTTGCCACACCTTGTCTTTACCCAAAAACCCTCAAGGTCTTGTCTTCTGTACTGTAAATCACCTGCAGCCAAACATACAAAACACACACACACACACACACACACACACAGTTATGATCCCCTATAGCAGAGCAGATGCTGCAGTTAATTCTCAAGAGTCTTGTTTGAAAACTCTCTGGAGAAATAAAATCAGCACTTTCCACTCATCACATAATCAGTTTTACAAAGCGACCCACACCTCCTCTATGTGTATCATTTATTCCTCCACCTCCTCCTCCTCCTACATCGCTCCATTTTTATTTATTTTTTTTTTCATCTCTACTCCCGTGGTTACAGTTTTGGTGGAATGACATTAGCACTGAAATGATTGGCTGTTACAGTATATATGAAAGTATTGGCGGCTCCTAAACCCCAATGCACCAGTGCTTATAAGAGATGGATAGAAAGAGAGACACCCTTCATCTCCTTTCTGAATCACCTCCACTCATATTTTTATCTTCTTGGTCTCACTCACTCACACAGATACTCAAAATTACGATGACTTCTCTGAGGTAGTAAATGGAGATAGATTGGAAACTTAAATAGGTGGAACATTCACAGTAAACGTTATGGGGGGAGCTGATTGTTTTTCTGCTCACTTTTCATTTTTCTGCTCTCTCTCTGTCACATTTCATTTTTTTTCTGCCTCATCTCTCTCACCAAAACATTCCATCTTTCACTCTGGCTCGTTCTTCTGTCTGCTCTCATTTCTGAGCTCTTGCAGTTCCTGTGCTAACGGAGACTCTTCCTCTGCTTTTGCGTGTGTGTGTCTGAATGAACATGTGTTGATCTGTGTGTGTCCAGAACGCCTACGACATGGCGGAGCTGCAGAAATCCCTCCAGCCGAGCCCTGCGCAGTCAGTCCAGTACTGCCGCTCCAGAGCCCTGCACCACCCTCCTCCTTCCCTCCACCACCACCATCACCTCCTTCACCAGGCAACCCCAGCCCCGCCCTCCACCCAGCCGCTGGACTCTCTCAGCCGGACAACCAGCTCCACCACCCTGCCCCCATCGGCAGCCTCCACATCCTCCACTGCCACCACCACTACCAGCCTCCGCAGGGATGTCCCCCCCACCAGACTCCCAGCCCAGGGCCAGGCCCGCCCCTCCCAGCTGGCTCGTCGCTCCCTGTCCTTCTCCAGCCAGGACCTGGCCCGCTACCTGTGTGAGATCATCCGCGATGCTGACCAGCATCCAGACACGGGGCCTTTCGACTCCCTGCAGGTGTTCTCCACTGAGGGAGGGGGCTCGCCTGCTGGCTCCCTCAGCTCTTTCAGCTCAGCAGGGCTGGACGGGGGGAGCGGCGGGGAGGGTGGAGGAGGAGAGGGGAGGAGGGAGGAGACACTAGGGGAATGGGGGCCTCGCTTTGAGAAGCTGCGGGCGCTGTACGAGCGAGCCGAGGCCAGTGACCTCTGAGCTCACACAGACCAACTGATAGGACCCTGATAACGGGCCATCCCGAAACAATCAATTAACAGACGCTTAGCGACGGCTGAGGTGAGAAAACAGCGAGAGACTGACTGACAGAGAGACATCTCTCCACACACCTCACTCGCTGACAACTGACACGGAAGGTGTTGTATTTACTGGATGATGAGCCCCGTCAATCAGCAACGTGGCAGATGAAAGTGTCCCTGTGAAAAGAGCCTGTCGCTCTGCGCTCCCTCTATCTTAGATGACAAAATTTTGCAGGAGCAGACGTTATCAAACCTGCCAGTCAGGTTAAAGGCTTCAGAACGTCACTCTCTAGCCGGGCTACTCATCATGATGGAGCTTAGCTTCACTGTCAAAATAATCTGCTCCAGTCACAGCCGCTGAAACCCCAAATTTCCTCTATTTTCTAACACTCATTGTGAGCTGCTCTGGATGAGTGTCAGCTGAAGGCCTCAAATGTGAAATGAAAATGTTTTGGCCAGGTTATTTTTTATACCTGAGCAAATCAATGCCACATGAAATGTATTTTTAGCACCTTGCTGCTGAATGAAATCTTTGTAAATAAACAAAGGACTCGTAACATATATTCAGCTCCGCACTGTTACATGATTCGGCAGAGAAGATGAGTGGGATCATACTGAGTAGCCCATATATCACAGAGTTTGGATTTTCAGTATATAGTGGACACATGGTGTTCTTGCTGCCTGGCTGTACACAGCTTCTGTCAATGTTTGTATGAGAAAAAACGTGCTTCAGCCAGCACTGGGTTGCAGGGTGAGATTATTATTCTTTCTTCTGGTAATGTGTCCTTCACTGGGTTGAGTAATTCTGTATTGGTTGGGTGTTTCAAGTTTCAATGCTCTGTGGGTTGTAAGACATCAAGCTTTCTACTTACTACTGCGTCTTCATGTGATTTCCTATTCTCATTCGCGCTCCTCCGCTGCGCGTTCCTGCTCACCCAAGGGAGAGTGCACAAAAATTCAAACAGCTTTGTAACAAAGAAATGGGAGCGGACGAGCGGACTGCGGGAGGGAAGAAATACTTGCTCTGTTGCTCTGTTCCACGTACGCTCTTCCTCAGGCATACCAAATGTGGCGGCTGCAAGAGACTACTTTAACAGATGATTGCACGGTAGAATACAAACTATGTCAAACGGCTTTCCAAGGTGACTACTCAATAAATACAAACGGAAGGAGGAGGAGGAGGAAGGAGATTGAGGTGATTATTCATATATAGTTCTGAGCTGTGATACCTGTGCCATACGCCACATTTATCTATTGCCCCTTGCTAAATTACCACATTTTCTTGAATGATGGAAAATGGACTGAAAACTGCAGGGAAATAATAAGTCTGCAGTTATTATCCAAGCTGTGAATTGTCAGCAGAGTGTTCCTCTTGTTTGGCTTCCTTTTCACATCAGTTTGATGGATCTTTTTTTTTTTCCCTCTCAACTCCAAAACTCCTGCTGTTGTGGAACCGGTATGAACAATTGGAGTAAAAAGGAAGAAGAGGCAAAGCCCAATAAAAAAGCAGCAAAGGGAAAGAGGAGCACTGAGTCTGAGAAGGACCAGTTCTTTTTACCTTTGATAAGAGAGATGATTACAAGGTAGAGGGTTGAATCAGGGAGCAAATGGGAAGGGGAGGCAGAGAGGAAGCATCTTACCATGCCTTGCTCCGTGGCGAAATGTGTCACCAGTGCACCATGGAGCTCAGTTGCTCTGAAGGGAGCTGTAGAGAGGAGGGTGATGCTGGGAGCAGCGGTTTTCTGCTGAAACGGTTTGTTGCACAGCAAATGGCATAAATATAAAAGTCATGTGTCCTAACCTCATCTCACCACTACCCTGCCTCCCTGCAATCCTCCAAAAAGCCGACCTGGCTTCTCCTGGCATTTCAGATGCTGTATTCTGCTGGAAGAAGCAGCAGAGCTCTCATCATGCTCTTTTTATTCTTCTCCATGCTGGCAGAGCCGAGCCTGTCGGCAGAGAGCAGTTAAAGGGTAGGAGTGTGTGAAAACATGTCAGGCCACTAATCCTAATAGGAGCTGATGGCTTGCTGTCATGCTGGAAAAAACCAAAGGATTGCGGGTACTTTAAAAAAAAAAAAAAGTCGACGGAGGAGTTGATTCCCAGATTGCAGCTTTGCAGAAACACGCTATTTTCTTAAAAGCCAGGGCAACAATGCAGCTTTTAAAAATAAGAGACTTGGCGGTCAGGTGAGGGTTCAGTCCGCTGTGGGATGATGCTTCAAACTAAGACACACAGGCGTTTTCTTTTTTAAAGACAGTAGGGATTTCCTAAAGGGGGGATGCTTGTTTGTTTTTTTTTGGTTTTTTATTCCTCTGTAGAAAAGGGCCAAGCCTGAGCCACGCAGAGTGGTGAAGGATGAAGGCGCTTCATGCTACACTTCTCTCTCCGCAGCTGTGAGAAGCAGCTCACTCCCCACCACCATTCATTTGTACCATACAACGGCTTCTTAAATGTTGTGTTCTGGGTGCAGACATGTTGTGAACAAAGTTAATGTTTTTACATCATTTGTAAATACAAAGATAGATTAATTACAGATATTGCTTTTTGTCAAGAAAGCACCACATAGATTTAAAATGTGCAGCTACTGAGAAAAAAAATAAATAAAATCGAACATATCTTTTTTTATCATCAAGATGGTGATGAGCTTTGGACAGTTATGTAAGTGTTTTGTATTTGCTTTGATTTTTTTTTCTCAATAAATTCATTTGTTTGCACCAGTGACTGTGCTGAATCGTGACTGCATCTGAAAAAAGAAACTGTAGAGTTGAAAGACACGGAAAATGAAGGTTCCGGCCTTACATAATGACAAACAATAAACGACATCGTTGGAAAAAGAAATACTTTATTCATCATACTGCCATTGATGTGGCTAATATCTAACACTGGCATTGGAGCAGACTCTTACTTGACTCATGTATCTTTTATATCCTTTCCACCAATTATGTGCTTGGCAATGAGAACAATTTTAGCTGCAGAGTAAACATTTACTAGTTTGTATGATTTCTGATACGAAAATGACCTGCAGTAGAAAACCCAGCTGTACAGAATTTGCTTGGTGGATTTGTAGAAAAAGAAATAGCAGAGCAAAATGGAGAAAATGACCAAAGGCACTGACATACATAATACAATATTCTTCTTTCAAATAAACACAGGAGCAGACGGTTTCCACTGCTGACAGATTTTACATCTAACAGTGCTTGTGCTGAAGATGACGTTTAGGGTCACAAGCAGCTCTTAAGCAATAATGTAGCCTTTAAGGTGCATCAGTTCTGAGCATTTATCTCAGTGTGAACTCAAGAGTGGCCTACATGTCAGCCAATCATATTGTACCAGGAACCTCTATAGAAAAACCTGTCAGTCACCTCTAAAGTACCAATGTGTGGAGGGATTATAGTGTTCCTTCATTACACATTATTTTAGACCCTTATACTCCATGTGGAAATTTCACATTCACTAATAGCTTCAACGTACTTACATGGCACTGGCTCAGTGGGATCCGTCTGTTTAGATGCTTCCAGAGAATGTCAGATGGTTTGTCTAAGACTGGCACATGCGTCATAGCTGCAGCTCATCATGAATACTAATTACATTACAGTGAAATTAACAAAAAAATCTGAGTACATTTTTACCCAAGCTTCAGCACCACCATGCCCCCAAACACACTAAAACCATGACTGACCCCCCTAAAGACAGCAACACGTGTACTTCACAGCCAGAGCACACATACTGTGTACTTGAATGGTGTGGACCTGCACTGAGCTCTGACCTCAACCTCATCCAACACCTTTGGGATGAATTCGAATGCCGTCTGAGAGCCAAATCCCTGCAGCCAGGTTCCAGCATGTTTTTGACAGCCTCCCCGGAAGAGAAGAGGCTGTTCAGCAGCATTTTTACACCCATGCTTTAAAATAACATGTTCAAATTACATATGGGTGTAATTAAGCATGACAGTTCAGTTCCTGACCTTGGAAACAGGGCTGTAGCCAGATTTACCAGCCAGTCCAACACCCCCCCAATCTGTATTTTCTGTTTTTGGACTCTTCGTTCACTGTGGAGACATCGAGAAAACAGTTTTCTTCACGAATTTAATGTAACACGGGTGAGTAGTTGATACACAAATGGTGATTTTGTAGGTGAATTCCTTTAACTAGGACTAAACACGGCTGTACGGGCAACCATTTTCAAATCGCTCTGCTCTATTCACTTCACCAGAAAAAAATTGCAACAACAATAACAGTATTCAACAGTTTACAGGAGTGTAAAAAAAAAAACAAGATATAAAACCTTGGACCAAATATTCAAACAAAAAATTCTAAAATAGGAGGAGGACAAACACAACAGTTACTTAAAAACAACATAGAGCCAGTACGAGAGGTGCTCAGGAGCATGGAGAGTTAGGTCTTGAGCAAACTCAATCTGCGGATGAGGAGCATTCGATAATGCTGAAAGCTCCAGGATAACTCAGCAAATGGACCTTGAGCTGAGATCATTTTATCAATATGGGTGTAATGAAATGGCGTCCATATAGTTTTGGCCATATAGTGGTAAGATACAAAGACTGCAAAAAAGTTGTTATCACCATTACAGATTTCTGTAGAAGAAAATGTGTTGTTTTATTACAGAATACAATGTGAATCTGGCCTTTAGTTATTTTTATTGGAAAGCTCTCTCTTAATTTTCTCTCTCTTTATTCAATCTTTTCATTTCCCAAGCATAAATATGTATTTAAGTGGCTGCATTTGTTTCAGTAGCATCGACTACTGCTTTAAAAAACGTGCCTTAGGAAGTGCTGAGCTGAATTCCACATCTGCACACAAGTTAATGGATTTCTTCATCCTCTTTTCATTAAGACAAACCATAGGCAGACGGCGTGCCTCCCAATGAACTACTAATCCCAATATGTATGGAAATTAAGAATGCTGAAAAAAAAATATTACATTAGTACACTCTTATTAGACAAACATAATGGAATCACTTCGCTCTCAAATAAAGCAATCAGACATCTCCTAAATTAAACATCCCATATGAAGGCGAGAGGGGGAGAACAAGTGGTGCTGTTCCACACTGATCCCATTGGTATGCATTACAATGAGGCCACATGGTTAACGAACAACAACGGTTTCAAAAGCAACACAACAACTGTGTGCAGGAGTGTTCGTGCATCTGCGAGTGTGCAGATTATCAAAGACAGAGGTCCTTATTAACAAGTGTACAAATATAGGCAGACTGAGAGGGAAAAATGAGTGTGTGTCGAACCCACATAATGGCTCATTGTAACAGGCAACTCTGACTGGCCACCCTATAATTACCGACACAGCTCCAGCCTTTCAATCACCTCCTCTCCCCTGCTTTCCCTTTGGTTCCAAAGAAGAAACTGAGAATGAGGAAGGGGTTCAGATCATTGTGAATCCGTGCTCTCATCTCTGCTCTGCTGTTTAAACATGAGCCTTTCCTGCCCTCCCTACTCCCCCTGCTCCTCCCCACTTTCTTTTCCAACCACAAAGCCTCAGTTTGATATGCAAGTGTTGGCCCCCTCTCTCTCTCTCTCTATCACAAACTATTTTGGATTGCGGCGGGGAATCAGCGTCGTTGTCAGCCTGCTGCAATTTCCTCGCCACTTACATTATTCATGTGTGTTTGTGGCTGTGTGTGTGGGAGATAGAAGAGAGAGTGAAAAGGTTGAGGCTGCTGCTGATGAGAATCGCGGAGCCAACAGCAACAACAACAACAATGTCACAAATATCACTTGGTACCAGCTTTGACCTCAGTTTTACAGCAAAAACACATTTAAGCACCGGTGGAACCTGTTTCCACCCAGGCGGGAATTGAAACTAACAAAATTATTTCCGCTTTCTGTTCAGGGGTAATTGATAGCATCTATCACGGCTGAGCCAAGAGTGCCAAGTCCAGCTAATGGTCAATGCTGCTCTCTCCCACATAAACCACAGCTGAGCATGACCCCCAGCTGTCTTCATAAACTCCACTAGGTGAAAAGATACCTCAGGTACAAACAGGACAACACCGCAGTCAAGTTGAAGTCATGTCATGTGCTTTTTAAAGGAAACTTATCAGAAATAGAAGCACAGAATCAGCATTATTAACAATGTTTTTACTTGTGACCATAAGATAAATAGTGTAACCATGCAAGTCCAGCTGGAGCTTTCAACCACAACCAACAGTCTTAATCAGTAGATGGTGTTTGCTAAGTTCTGATGGAGGCTGATCTGTTTTATCCACAGTACTTATACGTGACTGTGTGATATGGTTAAAAGCTCAGCAGAAAGCAGATCTGGACCTTGAGTTAGGATCACAGCAATTTCCAAGGTCAAGAGTATGGCAGCAAATTAGGGCCACCGTAGGTTAAAAGAAAAAAAAAAAAAAATGAATATGGAACTAGGGGAGAGGGGTAGTGATCCAAGAAAAAAACTCAGAATTTCCGAGATTAAATTTACAAATTTACATGAAAAAAAAACATGAATATTCTCTGATATTATAAAGTCATAAATTTAAAATGAAAAACCTCAAAAACGGCCATTATGTCAGGCGTCGTAGAATAAGGAGCACTATGGTCCACATAGGGAGAAAGTCATGATGGATGAATAGGTCACCTAGGAGATAAAGTCTCCTGGGCTCGTGTCCTATGTGGGAAACACTGGGTTACTATATTTAGACTAAGCTGATTTATTATTTTCAGGTTTTGGGATGTATAACGCTGCTGAATGCACAATGTGTACATGAACTTGGGTAGAACAGCTGAATAGGCCCGTCTGTGTTAGTGTCACATTTCGGCATTTTTTTGGGCATTTTTGCCTTAAATTGATAGGGCAGCTAAGTGTGTGGGGGGGGGGGGACAGAGAGAGAGACAGAGAGAGGGAATGACATGCAGCAAAGGGCCACAGGCTGGAGTTGAACCCAGGCCGCCACGGCAACAGCCACAGCAACAGCCTTGACCATGGGGCGCCTGCTCTATCCACTAAACCATGCCCCGATATTTTGGCATTGTTAGGATGCCCAGGAATCATCAAGCTATAGGCCAGGTAACGCTGCAGATGTTGACACAGCTTTCATTTTGGAACTGTTTTTGAACCATAAGGGGACGTCTTGATTGGATTAAATGGATTAGATGGTTTAAATGTTCATTCAATGTCTCAGCATTTGCTTTAATTCCCACCAGTGACGACCACAGCATGATGAGGTTGATCCAACCTTGCAAATTTAAGTGATGTGGTTTTGTAACAAAAAAAAAAACAACACAATTTCCCCCCATTTTTTCTTCATAAATTTTTGTGATTTAATAATCTCACAGAATATCTGAGTTTTTTGTAATAAAGTTATGACTTTAATCTTTAAAAAAGTGGGGAGTTCATTCCCTGAATAATACCCGCCTTCCCCATCTGCGTTTTACCTACAATGGCCAACCAATCTTAGTAGTGCTATGGATAACATTTCAAAGGCTCGGCCACACCAGTAATCACTTCATTTCAATGGGATCGCCATGCTCTGTGGATTCACTTGCTGTGGTGAAGTTAACCTGTTTGAATTTTTCAGCTTCAGATATGATGAATATGTGCACCTTTGACCAATAGTGAGCCATCTCTACAGTGCTGACCTTTGGGGGAACAAAAAGCCACAGTGTCCAAAATGGAGGACGCTATCGTAGCTTATTAGCTGTGTGGCACTGTGCACTTTGATTTAACTCCTCTATCGAAGTATATAGTGCTCCACAAAAGAGGACTGGTTCACAGAGAAGTATGAGGCAGAAGTCACTAGTACAAATACGACTTTTGAGTAAACTGTATGAAATGGTCCCGTTAGCAAACCAAGCTACAAGGCAGTTAGAAGGCTTCTTTGCATGCTTTCACCCCCCTCTTCAATTAAATCTTCATTTAATGAAATTATGTACAATACAGAGAACAGAGTGCCACAGCACAGTACAAACAAAATAGAAAAGAAGCTCTGTGATCTATTGTGTAGCGCTAGCATGTCTCAGCTGGCTAGCATATTGGTGGTTAGCTCGCCAGCCACAGTAGTTCAACTAGCCCTTCAAGTAGTCACAAAAGCACCCAAAGCATCTTTTACCATATATGCAACTGCATACAAACAGATCCATTTCTGAGTTCTGATTCATGCACTAATGCAGTTAAAGGCTATGAAACAAGCTAGTTAACTGCACCTTGAGTTGAAACTGTTTTGTCAAAGTAGGAAATACTTTTCTAGGTCATTTCCAATTAGACCTTCATAATTTCTTTTAAAAAATTACATGAAAGCTCCTCACTAGATTTATATTTATACTTTAAGGTATTTAAAAACAGCCCATTGCAGTTTTAATCAACCCTGTTCAAATATGGCACGTTCAAGTTTGCATGTTTATCAAATTTTGATAGTTTATTTGATCCCGAATGTCTACCCTTTATACACTTTATAACTGATATAAGTCAGAGCTGCAGTGGCAACTTGCACTTTCCAAGAATGAATAATCGTAAAAGAAAGACTTTGACAATCCCCAGATTTGTTAATCTCAGTAAATCATAGTTTCTCTCCCTATTTTCTCAGCAAAGAAGAGCTCACTAGCAAATATGTAATGTACTGTATTTATCTGGAAATACTTTCTTTTACTTATTGTAATGCGTATTTCATGTCAATCTCAAAGTTTTAACTTTTGACTTTATAAAGTTATTTGTGACTTTTAAATGTGCTCAAAGCAAAACTAAAATAATAGATTGGATAAATGATTTTTAAATGATTTGATGCTGAATCTAATTTTGATTAATGCTGCTGAACCCCAGGTCTACCCTGTATGAGAGGAAAACAATAATTCTATTATAGTATTTAGAAGTAGCAGTGATTAGTGTTTTGTTCATTTCATGATGCTGTGCAGAAATGACACTGACTGCTTCTAATGAAACTAAATAATTAGTAGTTGCTTGTGGTATTCCAGACACTACTTAGAGGCCTAATAGTCATTTCTGTGTCTGTTTATCTGCACCAGTGAGTGCTGAGAGAATGGCAGGGTGGGTGGCTGGACACAGAACAGCCCGAAGCAGGACTCCTATAGGTGCTTCCACACTCCACTAACTAAAACAATGCAGCCCCAAGCTTGAACTGGCACACTGCTCTAACACCACAGTTCACAGAGCCATGTGTTGAAAAAATAATGGGCATGATCACAGCTGGGCACAGTTCAGAGGAGACAGAGCAACAGCGAGGACTCAGTGCTTTTTATCTCTTCTTCTCCTCCGTCTCTCTCCCCTTTGGCCTCTGACGGGGGTTTTCTCACAACCCTGAACCTGCTACTGAGTCGCAATGGGCTCTGACGAGCTCTTGGTGCTTTTCTTGCGTTTCTTCTTGAGCCGGTACACATGGAAGGTTTTGTTCTGGAATGTTCTGGTGAATAGTGCGGTGTAAGCCGCCGTGTCTGTCTTGATGGCCTCGCAGAATCGAGGGTGGGAGGCCGGGACAAGGTCTGGGTCATTCTCTCCCGGTCCGTCCATGATCTGATGATACAGAGAATGAGCATGTCATAATCAACAGCAACAAGAATGACAGAAGGTTAACACTAATGTATGTTCTTAAAAGAGACATGTGTTAATCAACAGACAGTTAGCTGCTGTAAATAAACACCAACAGCAGGGTGACAGACAGCCTCTCACGGCCTCTAATTGCACTTTGCATTCCTGCCAGCTGGATCAGGGGCCTCATTAGAGAAAAATATCCTAACTACTCGTCCTATCTTTACTTTCAAACACAGGAAAAATCCTTTCTTCCTTTTACAGAAGAAAGTCCTAAACTCATGGCTGCGTCCTCTCCTATCTCGGACCTCCTATCTTACCTTCTAGCTATAACTGTAGATTTGAATCTTCAGCACTCGTCTTGTCATGCCTGTATCTTGGATTATACCGGGTATGACAAGACATAATATCAACAGCTCTCACTTGTCACTGACTGGCTAGAGTGCGATCATGGGCAAACTATAATTACACCCTCGCGGTATGCCTCTGCAAACCGGTCAAGATGTACTTACAGTTTACATTCATGTCTTTACAAACTGATATGTAGCCATGACAGTGGACAATGCTTCATATATGGATGCTGCTGCAAAGAACCTACATATTCTAAAATACCGATGCTTCACATACATCTTCAGCCCGGCAGCACTGAGGATCTATACACACAGCACAGTTTCATGGTGGACGCCCTGTCCAATTAGCGTCACTTTGAACATCTAATATTGCTGCACATGTAAGGGCCAAGAGGTGCCAGGTTTCAGGAGAAAGTTAAACAGTGAGAAGCCTTTAGAGGCTTTTCACCCAGAATACAGTTCTCTAAATAAAACAATGAGTATTTATTGTGGTCATATTTAAAGATAATGAACATTATAAAAAATATTAACAATCAGAACCTTCACTGCAAAATGATCTCTATCAGACTTACATCTTAAAATATTGGTAAAACCTTTTTTGCAGTAATATACTGGGTGGTATGGCTCTGTTTAGGTCCAAGGAAAGGCAGAGACCCCAGAACAGAGCCATTCCTTGGACCTACACAGAAAGCCTAAGGCAGAGAGAGCACACTTCTCTGCCCTTCCATGCGCCTACATGGAAAGTCATGGAAAGTTGTCTGCTCCATCAGTTGATTGGGCTGTTTGAGATCAGCTGATGTAGCTGGGATGTGGGCTGAGCTTGACATCGTGTCCTGCCTGAACTAACGCTATGCTCATTATTTGTAAATGGTTAATAAGGCAGGGAATAACTTCACCTGCTTCCTCAATCACTTCCACTTTAGTCTGGTGTGGTGATGACAGCATTACACAGGAGTGGATGTGTATGGAAAAATGCACATGACTGACTGACTAAATGTGGAAAAACTGAGAAATGTTGTTAAAATTCCACTTTTTTAAAGACATCTCAGACTGTTCATCATCTGTTTGAATGGATGAATGTTTCCAGAATGAACTTGTGCTTCTTTACACTAAGAGAAAGGGAACAATTGGGAGGTGCTGGTATTCACTGGTTATTATGAAATAGTTTTACTGGTCCGGCTTACTCTGTATGAAATTGGGCCATGTATGGCCAGTAAACTAAATGAGCATGACACCCACGGTCTACACCATTCTGACTTGGGATTCCTACCTTGGAATTGTTACTATTGTTATTATTAAAACTTCCCATGTTAGGACAGTTCTGTAATTGCCAAATTCCAATTCTAAAATAAGATAGGATTTTTTCCCCTCAATGCAGTTAGGAAACATGTTTCTGTACTGCAAGAAGTTTGATGGATTGATGAATAGCTTTTTTTGGAAATGAAAAAAAGGAACTAGAAAGAAATACTAAAGAATGGTGATTATTTTTCTATAAATAACCGTAAATGGTACTATAGAGACAAAATACATTTCATATATATAATTCCAAACATAACAATGCTCCAAAGAACGAAGAAATGAATAAGATGCTCCTCATCGGTATTAAAGGAACATTTTAAAGGCCTTGGAAACCTACTTTCTCAATCATCTTCCAACGATGAATGATCAGATTGCCATGACAACACTATTGTCTGCCAAGGTTCACACAGTTTGGGTTATTTCACAAGTGTTTTTTGTAATTTGTGTTTTGTCCTTGCATTTCTCACTGTTTTGAGGTGGATATTTCTGTGCACAAATCATATACAAGTAACCTTTAGATCAAAATGTGACTGAGGTTGTTTGTTCATTTTTAGAGAAGTGTCAGTCACATCTGATCAAACCACACCCACACAGACCTGATGAAGCAGTCCTGGGGCTGTACTGATGCACTGTTGCACATTTCAGAACTTTCAGAACTAAATTGATTGTTGCTTATTTAGTCATGAATATGTTAGGCAGTAGCGAAATACTTGTGATTTGAAATCTGGGGGCATATTCATAAAGCTTCCTGATACAAAGAGTTGCTCCTGGTGAGGAAATTCTAAAGAAACTCTTAGAATTGTGACATTCTCTAAGAATTTCCCCTCACAGTGAAGACTAGATGCTGGTAAAGATAAAGGTGGGCTCATCCCTTTAAAAAAAAAAAGTTAAAGCTATGTTCCCCGCTTTCCCCAAATGGAAATATGTTCCCCGCTTTGTATGGGACCGGGGAACATAGAACCCTTTTGAGAAAAAGGGGTGAGGGTTAGGGTTAGGGTTAGGGGTTAGGACCCTTTTTTAAAAACAAAGGGCCTATGTTTCCCGGGTCCTTTTGGGGAAAAGCGGGGAACATAGAACCCTTATTATTAAAAAGGGTTCTATGTTCCCCGGTCCCATACAAAGCGGGGAACATAGGACCCGGGGAACATAGAACCCAGGGAACATAGGTACACTCCCGATAAAGGTTTTTCATACAGCATCTTTGCCCTTAAGAGAACACCTAAGGTGAATAACTGTTAGGAGTAGGGAGGAGGACTTTTAAAAGACTGAAGAATTTTTTAAAAGGGAAAAGAGGTAGAAGAAATATTATCCAAACGCTAGATGACAATGAGTTATTAAAATGCTTCAGATTATCCCTCGCACAGGGATGTTTGTGGCCAATCTCATTAGAGATGCACTCACATCTCCCATCTAATGCATAAACACCATTATGTGGGTCGTCGGTGGCTTAGTGGGTAGAGCAGGCACACCATGTACAAGACAGACAGCAGCCCAGGTTCAAATCCAGCCTGTGGCCATTTGCTGCATGCCATCCCCCCCTCTCTCCCCCTTGCTCACACCCACCTGCCCTGTCCATTAAAGGCAAAATGCCAAAAAATAACTTTAAAAAAAAAAAGAAACACCATTATGCCTAAAATGAGAGTGATCACAAGTTCCCAACACTAAGATGTTAATATAGAATTCACCAGCACGGTAAATAAATGTGAGCAAATAAATTGAACAACTAAAA